TGAATGTGGTCAGTGGGTGTACAATTGGCGGCTTGACAAGCAAGGCGGGAGATGCAAATGCGGCGCGTGGCTGGAGCTGTTCTAGAGCAAGCCACCCTGGCGCAGCGTCAATTACGGTAAGCAGGACGCGGGCAGCTCTGCGGGATCGTGGCGGGGTCCGAAGCCAAGACAGAAAGAGGGTGGCGGCGATGGACTACCTCGCGGGGGGGGGGGGGGGCAACAAGCAGCTGGCGCAGGAAATCGAGGAGCTCAAGCGAAAGTACGCGCCGCCGCCGCAGCAGCCGAAGGCGCCAGATGCATGGCAGGCGCTCACGAAGGCCAAGGGTCAGCATCAGAAGGCGCAGAAGTGGCCGCTGGAATGCGAGGATGAGGTGGAGCGGCTGTCTATCCTGCACGATGAGACGATCCTGCATCGGGACCAGGCTCTTGAGGAAGCGTACGCTGCAGGCCAGGCCCATGCCAAGGCCTCGGCGGCCTACAGCAAGCAGGTGGACAAGGGCGAGCTCGCCAAGGCTGAGGAGGAAGAGCCTGCGAAGGCGACGGTGCGGACGATCTTGGACTTCTCTGTCTACGACAGGCTCTTGGACGCCAACCTGGACGACTACGAGCACGGGCCCGAGAAAGAAGAGGTGCTGGCCCTCCGCGCCAAGGTGGAGGAAATCCAACAGGCGGGGAAGCAGTCCTTGCAGATGATCGAGGACGCGGAGGCCGAACCCGCCCGCCAGCCGGAGGAGGTCCACCGGCAGCACGTGGAGGAGGCCAAGCAGCTGCGCGCCCCGGCGGAGCAGCACCAGCAGCACGTGGTGCAGCAGGTCGAGAAGCTCCCCAGCCTGCGCGCGCAACTGCGTAAGAAGCGCAGGCAGGAGGACGGCCAGGCGACTGCAGGCGAGGCCGCCATAGAGGAGCCTGAGGAACAGCCAGCTGAAGAGCCAGCTGAAGAGCCAGCTGCGGCGGCCTGCTGAGCCAGCGGCAGCCCCAGACCCAGAGGCAGCGAAGCAGCGGAAGCAGAAGAGTTGCTGGACTACCGGGCGAACACCGAGTCGGAGCGCACTGCCTCCGCCGCAACGGGAGGCAGCAAGAAGGACGAGCCAGGCGCCGCGGCCGCTGCTGCTGCGGGGGCGAGTGCAGTAGCCGCAGCCAGCTGTGATAGCTCGTCGAACCTGTGAGGAGCTGCATCCTGGCGCGAGGGCGGCGTCGGGCACGGCTGGAGATCGCCAGCTCCTCTCTGCCAACGTGGGGAAGGGGGGGGGGCCACGGGCCCACGAGTTCTTGAACGAGCACCAGGGAAAGCATCCCGAGGGCGAGCGTGATGGGCACCTGCGAGACCCACCTCTTGCCTGAGGAGCAGAAGAAGGTCACGGTCGACCTTGATCGCGGCGGCTGGAAGAGCACGGCTACGGCAGCGCGCCGGTCTGGTCTGAGTGACACAGGTTGCTGCGGTGGTGAGATGCTTATGGCGAGGAGGCACTTGGAGACCATCTCGTTTGACCACGTGCGAGTTGCAGCGCAGCAGAGAGGCAGGGACGACCCCTTCTGCGGCTTCGTGGCGACCACCATCCACGCGAAGGCGGGGAACGTGGTCTATGTGACGGCGTGCATGGCGCCCCAGTGGGGAAGGGTCCACCAAACCCCCAGAAGCTGGCGAGCTTGGCGGCCTTCCTGCGGGCCGTCGACGACCCGTGGATCGGGGCGGCGGACGGGACCTGGACCCGGAGGCTCTGCTGAAGAGTGGGTTCCCGCAGAAAGTCGGCGGCGTTGTGAAGACGCCGAAGGGGCCGCAGGTCACGTGCACTACGGGCAAGCAAGGCTCCTTGCTGGACGACTGCCTGGTGCGCAAGGACTTCGCGGATCAGGTGAAGGTCGAGGCGGAGCTGGAGGTGCCGTGGAAGGTGCACTACGCGCTGCTCACCACGCTCGAGGGCTCCTACCAGGAGCGGTGGGTGAGGGCGCTGGTGGTGCCCAGGGCGCTCCACGCGAACGCAGCGGCCGAAGAAGCGAGCGGACCCCAACAGCTAGACGAGCAGGACGAAGCAGAAGCGCCTGCAAGAGAGGAGGTCGAGACTACTCCCCGAGGGGCAGGAGGCGCTCATGCAGCTGCACGAGGAGGAGGTCTGCCAGGAAGCCCCTGGCGCCCTTCCCGGTGCCACTCGGGTGCTGGAGGCAGGCGGAGGAGCAGCTGGCGCAGACCGGCCCCCCAGATCGGTCGCTCACGAGGCCCTTCCCCGGGCCTGCTCCCGCTGCTGGTTGCGAGGCGCCTCGCGGGAGCGACGAAAATGGCGTCAAAAAAAGGCCCCAAGGATCCTTAACGGGAGGGTTCTGCGGACAGACTACACGGGCCCTGCGCAGCAGCTGGACGACCACATCGTCTACCAGGGCCGCGAGGAGCAGGAGAAGGGCCTCTCGCATAGGTGCGGCAACTGGGCGAGCAAGCTGGGGCTCGCGCTGCTGGCAGTCCACGAGGTGGAGGAGTCGGAGAAGGCGCGCTACATGGGGCGCAGGCGGGGCTCCGACCTGAAGTGGGTGAAGGCTAAGGTCACGCCAGGGCGAGCGCACACGAAGCGCCAGAAGTCCGACACCATGTGCTATGCGCTCACGCTCATGCAGGGGCATCATACGCTCGCGCGCGGCAGGCGCGACGAGGTGCAGCGAAGCTGGGCGATCTGCAAGCTCGAGAGGATCGTCAAGGAGACGCTGGACCAGAGCGCGGCCGACTTCTTCGGAAGCGGTCGCTACATGGTCTGACAAAAGATGATGATGAAGGTGGAGACCCTCTCTCTGGCGCACCGGCAGAAGTAGCTCGAGAACGGGCACGCTGACGGCGGCGAGGCAGGCGCGCGCGACGGGGGAAGCACACAGGGCCTACACCAGGTGGGTGAAGGAGATGTGGAGTGACAAGATGGGGGTGCTGCACAAGCACGTGAAGGACGAGCCGACCATCATCAACGATATCTGCACCGCCACCTCCACCACGGCGGACCCTTCGACGATCATGAACGACAGGGCAACCAAGTGGAGTGGGTTGTGGCAAGGAGGACATCCAGGCAAAGCTGCATAAGACCTTGGAGGTGGCGCAGGAGGACTACCCGCCCATTGAGCAGGAGAAACGCAATCAACGGCAGGAAAGCGATGGGCGTGGACGTGCTGAGCTCGACGGAGGTGCAGAGGCTCGCAGGTGTCGCGCGAGGAGCTGAGGCAGCTGATGACGACGCGGAGCAGCATGGTGGTGGCGGCTTCTGTGCCTAAGCCTTCAGGAGGAGACAGGGTGCTGGGCATGATAGCCGTGTTGCCCAAGATCTGGAGTAAAGCACGAGGTATCATCGTGGACAACTGGTCCGACTCCTCCTCCTCCTCCTCCTCCTGCTCCTCCTTCTCCTCCTTTTCTCCTCCTCCTCCTCCTCATCCTCCTCCTCCTCCTCCTCCTCCTCCTCCTCCTCATCATCATCATCATCATCATCATCAGCATCATCATCATCATCATCAGCATCATCATCATCCTCATCATCATCATCCTCATCATCATCATCATCATCATCATCGTCGTCGTCGTCGTCGTCATCATCATCATCATCAGCATCATCATCATCATCAGCATCATCATCATCATCATCATCAGCATCATCATCACCATCATCATCATCATCAGCATCATTATCAGCATCATCATCATCATCATCAGCATCATCATCATCATCAACATCATCATCATCATCATCATCATCATCATCATCATCATCAGCATCATCATCATCATCAACCTCCTCCTCTTCCTCCTCCTCCTCCTCCTCCTCCTCCTCCTCCTCCCCCATCTCTGTTCCAAGTACAAACGTCCTCCCTGTCGCACCTCCAGACGCATTAGCAGGGAGGGCCAGGCACTTCGGCCAAGGTTTCCCCACGATGCACGATCCTGAAGCTCAAACTGTTCAAACGCTTCTCGGATGGAAGGGGGGTCGTACATGTGGCTCTCGCCTGAGCGGCGCGCACAATCGTTTTCAAACCAATGCATCAGTCTCACGTATGGGGCGAAGGTGGTTTTCAAAATGTGGTTTCCCCCTCAGCGCCGCCCACATTCGTCATAGCACTTGGCAAAAGCTTCAAGGACGGAGGATGGCTTCTTTTCAATGTTTCACTTCCGCGATCGCGCCGCCCACATTCGTCGTACAACGTTGCAACAGATTCGCAGATTGAAAGCGGCTCCTTTTCAACATGTGGCTCTCGCACTAGCGCCACGCACTTTCGTCATAAAAGTTCGCAACACCTTCACGGATGGAGGGCAGCTCCTTTTGAATGTTATGCTCTCGCTGTAACGCCACGTGCACTCGTCCGAAGCATTCGCGACACCTTCACGATGGCGGGGTGATTTCAAAATATGTTCTCCCTGGCACCGCGCACAGTAGCCTCAAACGTTTGGAACAAATACAAGGGTGGAAAAGGGTAGCACTGAAAATGGTACTCTCGCCTCAGCACCGCGCGGGTGGAGGGCGGTTCCACTTCAAAGTGGGGCAAAATATCGCAAAAGTCTCAAAGACTCAGCACCTGTCGTTTTGAAAAGAGGCTCTCGCCTCAGCGCCGCGAGCATTCGCTTTCGAACGCAACGTTTAAAGGGATGAGGGGGACTTATCTTTTTCACACTGCAGCTCTCGCCCGAGACTCGTTAAGTAGAAACGCCGGTGACCTCAACGCACGTAGCGATGAACGGATTCATGGCGGCTCTGCTTTCTGAACTGAAATGTCATTGGACACTTCCTCGAAGTACAAGATCACGCGGGTAAACTCGTGCAACAGTGTGACGGATGGAACGGCGGCCATTCTTTGAAAGAAGGATGCCACTGGGCCCCTCGTTGAACTGTATAATCATTGTCTCTCGCGTTCCTGACTACGCACCGGTCAAGGACTCTCACCTCAACGAGGCGCAACGATTCCAGACCTCGAAAAAGGCAAATCAATATCAACAACCCCCCCCCCAAAAAAAAACAACAACAAAAACTGCCGAAGTCGTCCTCAGCTGAGCGTCCCCCCTTAGCGTCGCCCCTCTATCCTCCAAGCTCCGTGACGGCGCGCGCCAATCAGGCCGCCATCATCATCATGCTCGCGAGGCCAATGCTGGCGGCCACGGAGGCCCCGCCAGTGGCCTGCAGGGGAGAGGGCTGGGCCGATGCCGCCACCGTCGCTGGTCCATTCAGGTCCTGTCGTAATCCCTTCTGGCCCCCATCGTTCCTCACCGCCCCTGGTTCCTCCTCCTCCTCCACCCCCTTGAAAATATGGCATCAACTTATTTCCCTCGAAATACACCTTGAGCCAAATGGGCGAGCCAAACAGCTCTGTCTAACACCTACACACAAAATTAGGCTTGGCCGCTGTGCCACATCCACTGCTCACCCAGTCCGCAAGCTGTAAACTGACATCCCCCCTCGGTTCATAAACCGAACGTGGACACGGGGGATACGTAAACCGCCAAAGCGATTGGATAACGAAGAGTGCTAAGCAAGTAAGCAGTACAACGAAGCCAGGACTCCATCCTATCAAATTAAGTTACATAGGGAGGTGAGTGAAAAACATAAATCGTGCAAGCAGAAAGCGATTATAAGTTGGGCGAATAAAACGGAAGTAGGTTTCCTGAAACGCAACGCACACATCTTACAGTGTCGCAATAGCACCGAACCATGCAAGATGTTGAACATCTGCTGTAGTTCAGAATCAAGAATCACAAAGACGAGCACCTGGATTTCAAGATGCCACGTCCCCGGCATAGCGGTTTGCGACGATGGCTTTAGACTTAGCTAGCACTCAGTAGTTGCTACTAGCCCATGGCTTCCATTAGCGATATGTTGAGTAGTGCCTATCATGGGAATGGACATACTGCCCCCTCTCACATACCCAGTTAAAGCATCTGTAAGATTCTCGGTAAGTATACTTTTGATTACTGTGATGTCTCCTTGCCGCACCTTATCTTGTGACCGATAGTGACCGCACCGTTACCGTTGCTACATTGATGTCTCCTTGCCGCACAGGTACCCTAAGGACGCAAAGATAGCCTAAGGACGCGAACCTCCCTCCCCCCCTCCCTCCTGAAGACACCAAAGGCACCGAGACCGCTATTCCCTGGACCTCTCCTGGGGTGCGTTCTGACCAGAATTTCGAGGCGAATCCAGCGGTGGCGACTATGGCCTCCAAGGAGGCCAAGAAAAGGGAAAACGAGGGAAGGGTAGTGGTACGTCCATCTTCTCTTCAAACAAGAGAGGGGGCAGCGAGGCATCGAAAGTTCTTTCGCAACTACGTGTGAGAGAGCTGCTGTTTGCTGCTGGTCTTGGGATCCAGCTCTGGGCGTTTGTGCACCCTCACGCCTGGCAAACTCCTTGGCCAAAATGGCCTGCAGAAGATGTCAACAAAGATATTCCACCCACCTGCCCCAGCCTAACTCCGCATGCATTGGCGAGCATGTGCGCCAATGTCGGTAAACGACTGTAGTGGTATGTGCAACTCCTCCTCCTCCTCCTCCTCCTCCTCCTCCTCCTCCTCCTCCTCCTCCTCCTCCTCCTCGGACCTCCTGCGCGGGAGGGGAGGCTCCAGGGCGGGGGCGCGGCCGGCGCCAGCGACACGCCCGCCGCGAGCCCCGCGCCCGCGTACACCGCGGCCAGGTCGCGCTCGACGCTGCCCGTCCCGGGCCGCCCGCGGGGAGCCTGCCGCCGCCGACGCGGTCGCCGCCGACGCTGCCACGGCTGCCACCGACGCTGCTGCCGCCGACGCTGCCGCCGCTGCCGCCGCCGCCGCGCCACCGCCGCCGCCGCCGACGCTGCCGACGCTGCCGCGGCCGCCGCCGCTGCCGCCGCTGCCGCCGCCGACGCTGCCGCGGCTACCACCGATATCTCCCCGCGGCCGCTGCAGCCGCTGCCGCCGCTGCCGCCACTGCTAGGCTCCTCAGGGCCCTTCTACAACGGCGACCTCCTCGTCTGGCATCTCCTCGTCTGCCTGTTCCTCCTCCTGTCCTCCTCCTTCTCCTCCTCCTCCATCCTCCTTCCTCCCTCCCTCCTCCTCCTCCTCCTCTTTCCCCCCCATCCACCTCCTCCTCCTCCTTCCTGCTCCTCTCCTCCTCTCCCTCCTCCTCCTCCCCCCTCAACCTCCTCCTTCTCAGCAGCGCATCCTCATCATCAGCATCATCATCATCATCATCATCATCTCATCATCATCATCATCATCATCATCATCTCAGCATCATCCTCCTCCTCCTCATCCTCCTCTCCTCATCATCATCATCAGCAGCAGCAGCAGCATCATCATCAGCATCAGCATCATCATCATCATCATCAATCATCATCATCATCATCATCATCATCATCATCAGCAGCAGCATCATCATCATCAGCATCATCAACCTCCTCCTCCTCCTCCTCATCATCACCATCCGCATCATCATCAGCATCATCATCAGCAGCAGCAGCATCAGCATCAGTATCATCAGCAGCATCAGCATCATCAGCATCATCATCATCATCAGCATCATCATCATAATCATCATCGTCAGCATCATCACCATCATCACCATCACCGCCATCACCATCACCATCACCATCATCATCATCATCATCATCATCATCATCATCATCATCATCATCATCATCATCATCATCATCATCATCATCATCCTCATCTTCATCATCATCAGCTTCATCCCCATCCTCATCCTCATCCTCATCCGCGTCCTCATCATCATCCTCATCCTCATCATCATCCGCATCATAATCACCATCACCATCATCATCAGCAGCAGCATCAGCATCAGTATCATCAGCAGCATCAGCATCATCCTCAGCATAATCGTAATCGTCATCAGCATCATCATCATCATCATAATCATCATCGTCAGCATCATCACCATCATCACCATCACCGCCATCACCATCACCATCACCATCATCATCATCATCATCATCATCATCATCATCATCATCATCTTCATCCCCATCCTCATCCTCATCCTCATCCGCGTCCTCATCATCATCCTCATCCTCATCATCATCCGCATCCGCATCCTCAACCTCATGCTCATCATCATCATCATCATCATCATCATCATCATCATCATCCTTAGCATCATCCTCATCAGCATCATCAGCATCAGCAAAAGAATCATCATCACTATGATCAACATCATCATCAGCCGCATCATCACCATCAGCAGAAGCATCATCAGCATCAGCATCAGCATCAGCATAAGCATCATCACCATAATCAGCATCATCAGAAGCATCATCAGCATCAGCAGAAGCAGTGGCATCATCAGCATCAGCATCAGCATCAGCATCACCATCATCATCTTCATCATCAGCATCATCATCATCGTCATCACCATCAGCAGCAGCATCAGCATCAGCATCAGGATCAGCATCAGCATCAGCATCATCACCATCATCAGCATCATCATCAGCATCATCATCACCATCAGCAGCAGTGGTATCATCATCACCGGTATCATCATCAGCAGCATCGCAATCAGCATCATCATCATCGTCAGCATCATCATCAATATCAACATCATCATCAGTATCATCATCATCATCAGCATCATCATCAACAGCATCAGCAATACCACCATCATCATCATCATCATAAGTATCATCATCATCATCATCATCAGCAGCATCATCATCATCATCATCATCAGTGTCATCATCAGCATCATCATCATCAGCATCATCAGCATCGCCATCATCGTCATCCCCTTCGTAATCTTCTTCCACCTGTCCTCCTCATCCTCTGTGTCGTCTTCCTGCGCCTCGTCCTCCTCCTCCTCCTCCTCTGCCTATCGCTGACGCTGGCGGTCGTGATTTCTCCGAGAAGCATTGCCTCCTCCTCCTCCTCCTCCTCCTCCTCCTCCTCCTCCTCCTTCTAGCTATTTCGCGCTCAGGGAGCGCTGCTGGTGCTTACTTCGAAGTGGCGCCAGTGCCAGCGAGCCTTTCACGTCATCGCGAGCCTCTCGGGGGTGGCGCGCCCGCCAAGGGCGGCACGCGCCCCGAAGCTGAGGAGATCCTGATGGCCTCCGGAGATCGCAAAAAATGGCGCAGCGCATCCAAACACCTCGATCCTGAACCCTCCTCGTATTCTCCTTCTCCTCCTCCTCCTCCTCCTCCTCTCCTCTCCTCCTCCTCCCTTTTCCTCCTCCTCCTCCTCCTCCTCCTCCTCCTCCTCCTCCTCCTCCTACTCCTCCCCCTCCTCCTCCTCAATATGTGCTTCATCACTCCATATCACCACCAACCACCACCCCCCACCACCACAAACAACCACCACCACCATGACCATTTCATCTTCTCCTTCATCATCATCAGCGTCATCAGCACCAGCATCAGCATCAGCATCAGCATCAGCATCATCAGCATCATCAGCATCATCATCAGCGTCATCATCATCGTCATCATCATCATCATCAGCAGCAGCACCAGCAGCATCATCATCATCCTCATCCTCATCATCATCATCATCATCATCATCATCATCATCATCATCATCATCATCATCATCATCATCATCATCATCATCATCATCATCATCATCGTCATCAGCATCATTAGTATCATCGTCGTCATCATCAGTAGCATCGTCATAATCATCGTCATCATCAGCATCAGCATCGTCATCATCAGTATCATCATCATCATCAGCAGCAGCATCACCATCAGCATCACCACCAACGCCACCATCCTCCTCCTCCTTCCCACCACCATCGTAGCAGCATCATCATCAGCAGCATCATCATAATCGTCCTCATCAGCAGCAGCAGCATCATCATCATCCTCATCATCACCATCATCAGCATCATCGTCATCATCATCATCATCATTACCATCGTCACCATAACATCATCATCATCCTCATCCTCATCCTCATCATCATCCTCATCCTCATGCTCATCCTCATCATCATCCTCATCCTCATGCTCATCCTCATCATCATCATCCTCATCATCATCATCATCCTCATCATCATCATCAGCATCATCATCCTCATCGTCATCGTCATCACCGTCATTGTCATCGTTATCTTCAGCATCCCGACTGCCACCGCCGCCCCGTACCTTTGATAGTTGAGCCCCCCGGAGGTCGGGGGGGCGGGAGAGGTCGGGGCCTGACGCCGCTGCAACCTCAGGGGGTCCTCGAGGCGCTTCAGCAGCTGCATCAGCCTCTGCAGCTGTGGCAGGTGGCTGCTCCCCAGCGACACCGCAGCCTGCCGCGGGACGAGGAGAGGAGGGGCGGGAGGAGGACGGCGACGAGGGGGAGGACGACGAGAACAGGGTCTCTTTGAGATTCAGCCAGCTTCGCAGGAGTCGTGCTGCGTGAAACGGGGGCGGGAGGGGGGGGGGGAAAGAGGCGCGGGAGGAGGAGGCAGAGGGAAATGTGAACAGCCCATGGCCCCGCCTCCAAGGCGAGAGCGCCGTCTCGACAAGGGGCTGCCCTGTGTCCTCGCGGAGGAGGAGAAGCAGAGCGAAAAGGGTCCTACGATCAGGTTCGACGAGTGCCCCGCGAGAGGTCTACGATCAGGTTCGACGAGTGCCCCGCGAGAGGTCCACCGTCACACAGAAGCGCCCTCGCCCGTCTGTGAGACTGTCTGCTGCGCGCGTTCACGCTCTCAGCGCTCGAGGCCCCGTGGCCCGGCGCGACGATAGAGTTTTGCGTGTCTACATACGTAGTTGTGTACACATATATATATATATACATAGATATGCGCCGATTCATACATACGCACATACAGACACGCCTGCACACAAACATACGTGCATGCACGCATACGTACACACATACACACCTACATACGAGCATACGTAAGTACGGTTGTGCGTGCATAACGATAAACATATATGTATAGATATAGATATACATATGCATATTCACACATACATGTATACACATGTGTGTACATATATATATATATACATATATATATATATGTATATATATATATGTATATGATCCAGGGTCTGGGCCACCCCCCCCTCATGATGATGCCATCGCCCCCCCCCCCCCGCCTATGGACGTGGCGTGGCGGGGTCTTCCCCTGTAGGCGTGCGGTGGCCACCCCCCCCGATGGGCGTGCTGTGGCCCTCCCCTGGGGTCATGCTGATGCGCGATGGCCCCCCCCCTCCTGTGGGGGTGGCGTCGTGGGGTCTTCCCCTGTGCGCGTGCGGTGGTGGGTATGGGGTCCGGCCCTCCGCGAGGAGGAGGAGGAAGAGGATGAGGAGAGAGGCAGAGACGCGGGAACAGATTGACCGCGAGATCCACATGGAATCTGGACGCCGCCGCCTCAGGCGATCCAGCCTCGACGACGCCCTCCCCTTCAGCGAGCGAGAGAAAAGAAGAGGAGTAGGAGAAATAAGTCGAAGCCAGGACGAGGGTCAATTCGGGTGAAGAGAGATCGAGAATATCTGAGATCCGGCGGATCTGGAGGATCGCATCGGGTGCCGCGGCCTTATCAGAGCGTTCTGGACCGCTCTGAGAGCACTCTGGAACGCTCTGGAACGGATCGATCCTCGTCCTTCCGGGGGGACGAAAGGATAGGATAGGAAAGGGCAGGGTAGAGAATCAGCTCATGTTGTTGGTTTTCCTGGCGCCTCCAGGCGTCCATGCATCGAGGAATGGGCCCGGCGGCGGGGCAGAGACCAGCTGCACGCAGCAGAGTTCGATCCCCCCCCTTTCCCTATCCTACCCTTTCGCGCGGCCCAAGAGGGAGAGGAGGGAAGGGTGCACCACGACCACCACCACTCAGCCGAGCATCCAAGCGGACGCGTGGGCAGACGAGCCAAACGCGCGCATTTGGCGCACCAAACAAACCGGCGACACGCCAAAGTGCGCGCCAGGAGGTTCCTCTCACGTGCGCCAAGCGCGGCCACGCATGAGTCTGCCAAGAGCGCGTTGCCACCACGAGGAAGACGAGGGAGGGGGCACGAAGACCGAATGTGCAGGAAAACCCTAGCAGGGGCCCCTGGCGGCGCCGCCGCCTCGGACAAGCCGCGCCCCGGCCACGATCTCCAAGTCCCCCCCCCAAACGGCGAGGGCACTGGATGAGAGAACGTTCGATAAGAAACCCAGGCTCTGGAAGCCAGTGGAACTCGATGAAAGGATTGGCCATGGATATCGCCGCCACCCTCTGTGGACACGGAACCATCCAGGGTCTGAGGCCTCCTGGGCACAGGCCTCACCCCCCTCTTGGACGCCCCCAGTACACGTCCACATCCGCCAATCCTCGAGATCCAGGGGCACAACTCGGTGTGTTACACATCGTCTGTCGATGTGTCACACATCGACAGACGAGGCTCGGTGCTCGAGCGCTGGAATATTGATCCGGCGGTCATCGCCCTCTCGCAAAATCTCCATGACCGTGCTTGGTTTACAGTGGAAGGGGCTGACCAAGCGGTCGTCACTACTACAGGCGGCCGACAAGGCTGCAAACTGGACGGGTTCATCTTCTGCTGCGTGCACGAGGGAGCACTGGCAGCGACACGCTGCGGCCTCACGCGAGCTGACATTACCATCGTGCTGAAAACTGCTCAGGGCGTGCCATGTTGGACCTCCGGTGAGAACGGCGCCGACATGAACCTCACGGTCGAGGTCACGTGCGTCGATGACGAGGCGATATCGCTGCAGTCGCCCGCCCCAAGACCCAGCTCCGCAGGGCCATCGGGACGGTGACCGACCTCTACGCCGAGGTACTCGCCGAGCTCGGCCTGCGCATCAGCCGGAAGAGGGGCCAGAGCGAAGCCATCCTCCGCTGCCGTGGCCCGGGCGCCACGCAGGTCATTGCCGAGCTCAGATCCGACGCCGGCCTCCGCATCCCCGGCCATCGCTCGGACGTCCACTCCCTGTGCCTTTGTGCCAAGATCCCCCCTGACGACGGCGTGTCCGCCGTGCGCGCGGTGCACGGCTGCCAGCACCTCGGCGGCGCGGCCTCCGCCAGCGGAGGTCACGGTGCCAGAGGCCCGACGCCGAGCCTCCTCGGCAGTGGCCGCGTACTCCCCGATCGCGTCCAAGGCTTTCTCCTCGGTCGGTATCGGCACCGTGATTGAGCAGGGACCGACCGTCCCGGCATTCCTATAGTCCTACCACGACATGTTCCTAGAACCCCAAAATGTTCCAAGAACCAAAACAATGTTCTTAGAACATAAACCCGATGTGATAAAACAAGACATTCCCAACCAGAAATGTTCTAAGAACATTTCGTGGGAACCACAAAAGCTTGTTAGAACATTGTCTGGTAGGACTATAGGCACGCCAGGACGCTTCGCCACCGCTTGACATGAAGCTCCGCCTTCTACACAGCTTGGTCATGTCGAGGCCGCTGTTCAACGTTGCTAGTGGGACAATGTCTGCCGCTGCGCTCCAGCAGATCGGCGGCCCCGACGTGCGTGCCGTGCGGCGCATGGCTGGGGCTATCAAGGCTGGGCATGCGCCTGCTCTGTCGGACTTCGCTGTGCGTCAGTGGCTGCAGGCGCCGCCTATCGAAAGAGAGAGAGAGAGAGGTCCAACGCGCGAACGGGCGCCCTGCCTATCGAAGGCCAGGTGGCCGGAGGCGGTCTCGAGGTCGGTGGCTGGCTCATCCGAGACATCGCCATCACGTCGTCGCCTTCGGGACTACATGGGGGCTGATAATAAACCGCCACCTCCTGGAGCTCAAACGGACCTGGGCACAAGCCTCCGGTACTACCACCGAGTGGCGACCCCACCGGCCGTCCGCAGCGTGGGCCTTCACTGCCGGCGCGCCCGCGCGGACGGCCCCCGCCGCACGCAGCGCAGGTGACCGCAGACCCCGGCCTATACTCCAGCGCCTCGGGCCCGAGCTCGACGCCATGCCTGGATGCATGGAGGCATCTGCCGTGTGGGTGTCCCTCGGGTCGGGCGAAAGGGGGGGAGAGCAAAGGGGGGGGGGGAGAATCAGCGCACGTAGCCGATTTTCCCCGCGCCTCCTGGCGCCGGAGGCGGCTGTGTATCGAGGAATGGGCCCCTCGGTGGGGCTGAAACCAGCTGCATGCAGCAAATTTCGTAGCCCCCCCTTTCCCAATCCCCCACTTTCGTCCAGCCCGAGTCTCGCATGAGACAAAACGACTGGCCTTCGATTGTACCGAATGTCTTCTTCTGTGAGGCGTCGCTTGACAACGTGGCCTCCCAAGGCAGCCTCGCCCCGCCAGTTGTGCAGTTACGGTGTGGTAGCTGCGACGCCAGCTTCCCGACCAGCAAAGCCCTCTTACAGCATTAGCGGATCGCTCATGAGCGGGCGTATGCCCTGCCTGTGCAGCCAATTTTTTGGAGCGGCACGGTGTCATACGACATGTACCTGATAGCCGCCGTCCGGCCTGCCGCACCCACCACATCATGGCGACTCTGCCATTGCAGAGCCCAGAGCTGTGAGCGAGCAACGACATATGTACATGTACGCCCTCCGCGGTCTTGAGTGCACGAACGTCCTCGTTCAAACGCCCTCCAGGGGAAGCTAACCGCGTACGTGTACATATGTTGCTGGCCTCTGAAGCTGGTGGCTTCATGGGAGGCCCGCGACCACGAACGAGTCAGGCGAGGCAGACGAGCTGGCTCGACCCACATCCTTGCGGCCGGCCGGGCGGCTGCAGCCGCAGGCCGCCGCAGAATTAGGACGTGAACACCATAGCCGCCACATGTGCGAACCACTGGAGGCGCCTTCTGGGAGTCCCTTGCCACGCACTGTTCTGGCGGTGGATCGCTCCTCGATGGCGCAATTGGAAGACGCTGGGAGTCTGGGCCTGGGCGCAGGGCATGGAGTCCAGTTTCCCGCAGGACCCGTTGGCTTCACGGGGACCCCTGCCAAGCACAGGCGGCACGGGCCCAGCCGGGAGGCTGCACGAACCCTGTGAGGTTGACACGCTCAGGAACTGCAAAGATCTTTCAATCGGCGGTGGACTAACCTCCCTTTAGTAAACCTCCCCTTGGTGAAAACGGCCTGGGACCGAAGCCGACGGACCTGGACCCGCAGAAATGGCGTCCGCGCCGCCCCCTCGCGAAGCGAGAACGGCCAACTCCTGAATCGACGTGGCAGGGTAGGAGGTCTATCCACCTCCGATTCAAGGCAGGGTGGGCGGGCGTACCTGCATCGCAGTTCAGGGTGGGCGTCAGGCAGGAGGGCCGGTGTAGGCCCAGGGGGCCATGACGTCGCACACAGGCATCCGACGACCTGCGACCCCAACGAGGCCTGACCTCGTCCCCAGGGTTGGTGAATTCTTCGCCCCAGAACTGTCCCCAGAGGCCCGAATCGAGGAAAGACCGCCCGTGGAAATCAGCGCATCGTCGGCTGCCGACAAGAGCCGCCAGTACCGCTACCCGGACCCATCCTGGAAGCGTTCTGCCTACGATTTCCGGGCGAACCCAGCCGCGGTGGCGAGGTAAAGGGCGGCGGCACTGAGGAAACCACGAGGTACCGATACCGCCACTCCCCGGACTTCTCCTGGGGCGCGCTCGGACCAGGCCTTCGAGGCGAACCCAGCGGCAGCGACAAGGGCCCCACGGGAGGGCGAACCAAAAAGCGAGAACGAGGGCAGCGGGAAGTGCAGCGGTATGGGCACCTTTTCGTTCCTCCTCCGAGGCATCGGCACCGCACCCGCTCGTGAATCAGAGGGCGAGAACCCACCCCCACCCCCAGTCCCGACTTCCGTCCCCGAGCCAGCGATTCGAAGGGTCGGGACTGGGGGTGGGGGTCGGCTTTCTCCATCCCTGGGCCCCGAAAAGCCACCCCCACCCCTAGTCCCGTCCCCCTGGATCGCGGGTTCGGGGCTGGGGTCGGGACTGGGGGTGGGGGTGGCTTCTCGCCTTCCCGATGAAGGCCGCCCCCGCCTGCAGCTGCTCCGCGAAGCCGGCCCCGAACTGCCCCGCCGCGCCGCCGCCGTCCGGCCCCGCCGCGCCCGCGGCGAGCCCCTCCAGCACGGCCCGCAGCTGCTGCTCCAGGGCCGCGGCGCCGCCTGCCCGCAGGGTGGGCGGGGGGGGGGGCGGCCCGCCCGCCTTCAAGCCCTGTTCCTCGCAGTCGGTGTCGTAGTCATGTGTGGGGGGGCACAAAATCCACCCCCATAACAATCAGCCCTGGAGAGCCCGGGCGCGAATCGACGGGTCGGATCGACGATCGAAACGAATCGGATCGGCGGAAATCCGGTGGGGCGCAGAAGCACAGACTGGCCTCCCCTGGAGACGCACCTCCGACGGGAGCCTATAGCGCCAGCATCACACCGCTACCCGGGCGGCACGGCCAGAGAGCACCCGCCAACGAGCATGTATGAAGGGGAACTGGAACACACAAATAAATAGACACTAATAACCAGATTCCCCATATTTCCCAATATTTTCTGGGTTGTTGTCTTCCCCCCCACTTCCCATATTTTCCCATATGTTCCTGGGGATCGACGATTCATTGTGTCTGCGAGTTTCTTTCCCTCCTGAATGTGCTACAAAGAGTTCTGAGCGCGCGCACCGCCTCGGGGGGGAACGGCGCCCTCACACGATAAGAACAAGCCCAACCCTGAAAGAACCCGCGCGCGAAGCGCACCGGAGGGGAAGCCCAGAGCACCCGGAGCGCAGCAGCTCCCTGCGTGGCCGCAGGAAGCCGCCGCGCGGCGCGCGGAGCGCAGCAACCCAGGAGACATACCCTGACGAAAGGCGCACGGCTTCTGGAGGCGCGCCCCCACTGCATGTGTGGGTGCTGCCGCTCGGAGGCCTCGCCCCAGTCCTGCCGCGATGGCCTCCTGCGGCCCACTTCGCGGCCAGCCCAGCGCCCCTCCCGGCGGCCCCGCGGCGCCCCCCGCGCCGCCCTCCCCGCGGCCCTCAGCCCTCGGGCGTCCTTCCGGCCCAGGGCACTTCAGGACCCGGGCCAGCCAGGCCCCTGCAGGACCCTCCTCCTCTTCCTCCTCCTCCTCCTCCTCCTCATCCTCCTCCTCCTCCTCCTCCTGCTAAAAGTGTAGCACTCCAGACCTATAGATCTACCGGGACTGCCTCAAACCTCAACAGGAATTAGGACGTCGACGTCCTGGTGCTATGTTTTAGCCCTCCTGGGAGGTCAGGGTGGGCGTGAGGTTGCTGAAGTCCGGTGTTTGTTTGGCCTTGGGCGCGCGTTGAGGATATGTCACTTCAGACCGGCCTTTTCCTCGGTGTCCACATGTGAGATGCTCAGGAGTTTGACGGGTTTAATGCCGGCTGGGCCTGCATCCAGAGTTGGCAGCACGGGAGGTCATCGGTCCTGTCCTCTTTGTGGAAACAAAGCCGTGAGACGGGGGTCAATGCAAACGGGGGTCAGCCAGAGCGCCAGATCTCGCAGGATCCCTGCAGGGCCAGGGCCGCACTGCCCTGGGCGTGGACGCAGGATCCCGCAGAGGAGCTCTTGCAGGAGCCTGCGCGCTGGCCCGGGTCAAAGTGGGCCGTCCCTGCGCCTCGCGCCGTGCTCCAGCCCACTTTAACCCTGATCTTACCAGCCTGGAGCATATCCCTATCCCTATGCTGGGCATCTCCTCATCACGATGCCAATCTTAGGGATTCCCTCAGTTTCTCAGGGCGAACCCCTAAGATTGTCATCGCCTTTTGGCGTGTAAATCTTAAGGATAGGGATACATTCGAGGCTGGTGATGATCACCAGGAAGAATTTCGAGCGCCCCAAAAATACCAAAACTCCAGGGTTTGCACGCGTCGGGCCCTGGGAGACACGCGCCCGACACCGTTTCGACACTGCGTCGATACTCTTTTGTCACTTTTCAGGGTGCTCGAAATTATTTCTCGGATGCGGTCCTTAAGTAGGATGGAAACAGCATAACTCTGGGCGGCCCTCGCGGGCTGGAGGCACCGCGGTGGCCGAGGCTTCGATCAGGTCGGGCCTGTCCTCCTACAGGGGGAGCTTGGGCGAAGAATCAAAAATTAACAAAAAGTACTCCCAAACTGCTCAAAGATGATAATAAAAAAACAAAAAAAATCGTCCCTTTGCTGCTATGCTATGTTTGACTATTTTTGAATATTCCCCATGTGGAGGGACAGGCCCGACTTCAGGCTTCGATGGAGGCCTCCCAGATGGGGTCGGAGGAATGCACTGGATCGCCGATGTACAGTCGGACTTGCTTGGAGAGGACACGCGAGAGGACACAAGACCCTTCCGAGGGCCACATCGCCATAGGAGTGTAAGAAGGCACGTGTCGCGAGGCACAGGACACAAGGGTCCCCTTGAGCTGGCAGGGTCGACCTACTAATCCGAACCGACTGTAGAGGCCTCCCAGATGGGGTCGGAGGAATGCACTGGATCGCCGATGCATCGGCGATGCATCCACGATGCATCGGCGACGTCGGCGATGCATCGGCGGCGTCGGCGTGGGGAAACTCGGGCTCCACATCGAGCCGCATCGCCGATGCATCGGCGATGCGGAAGCGATCCTTCGGCCCCATCTGCTCGGACCCAATGTGGGTGGCCGAGGCTTCGAGGCTTCGAGGGCCACGGGTCGAAGACCGAGCGAGGGACGAGGGTCGGGGTCAGCAGGAATGAAGGGGCCCCAGAACACACAAATAAATACACACAAATAAAAATATTCCCGATATTTTCCAATATTTTCTGGGTTTCTGTCTTCCCCCCCACTTCCCATATTTTCCAATATTTTCTGGGAAATCGACGATTAATTGTGTCTGTGTGTTTATTTCCCTCCTGAAGGAAAGCGGGCCGAAGGCCGAGGGCAGAGGGTCGAGGACCGAGGGCTCGAGGGCAGAGGCCCGGGGGCCGAGGGCGGAGGCCCGAGGAGGGCGGATCGAGGATCGAGGGCAGCAGCAGCGAACGAGGATCCAGGGTCGAGGGCAGATGAGGGGGCAACGTTGGTGGGGGGGCCAGCGCAGGGGGGGGGGATCCTCGAGCTGGAATCGGCGACACATCGCCGGTGGATCAACGACAGGCCACCGCTCGCGAATCCAGCGGCCCCTCGGCGGGGTGGGCTCACGGGCCCCTGTCAGCGATCCGTGGGCGATGGGGGTCAATACACCGCCCCCTGGGCTCATCCCCCCTAACGTTGCCCATTCTTGAAGGAGCCCTGGGACACACAACTGAATACACACGAATAACAGGATACCCCATATCTCCCAATAGTTCCTGGGCTTCTGTCTCCCCCCCACTTCCCATACCTTCCCATAGATCTTCTGGGGAATCGGCGATTGTTTGTGTCTGTGTGTTCTGTCCCCTCCTGCATGATCTTCGACTCCGATCCAGATCCTCGACCTCTGGCTTCTCTCGGGAGCGGCAAAGAGGGGGGTGTCCAAGAGGGGTGGGGTGCAAATCATGACCGGCGGCGTGTGCGCGACCCAGCGGGGGGGGGCCAGGGACGCAATGAGACAAGAAGAGGCGCCATGATATCTGGGGAAATACCATGGCCCCCGCCATGATATCCACCCCCCCTAGTCATCACCCCCCTCTTTGCCTCCCCCGATACAAAGGTTTCTGTGTCTTCGGGGCAGGCCTAGAAAGCTCGTCGGAAGGCAAGGGGACCTCCGAGCCTCCTGAGAAGGCCAGGCCTTCTCCTTCTCCCTGCCCCCCCAGGCTCGCCGCCAAAGGGAAGAGGGGAGGGAGGGAAGGGAGGGAAGGGAGGGAGGGAAGGGAGGGAAGGGAGGGCCACAGCTCGTGCCCCCGGCGGCCGATCGCCGGGCAGACGCCGGGCAGCCCCCGGGGCGCCCCCGGCAGTGGCGCGGCGGCTCGTGCCGCACCCCCATGGGGGCCAGAGGAGGGCCGCTCGGAGAGGAGAGCCCACGAGCGCGCGCAGGACCTCCGACCTCGAGGGCCACGATCGATCCCCGGGGCCTCTCCCGGGGTGCGTCCCTCTGTGAAGGGGCCCCAGGGCACACAAATATAAGTACACACACCAAATAGAAAGATTATTAGAAAGATTCCCCACCTTTCCATATATATATAGGGGTTTCGTCTTCGCCCCCACGTCCCATAGTATCCCATCTTTTCTGGGGAATCGACGATTAATTGTGCCTGTGTGCTTTTTTCCCCTCCTGACTCTGGGAGTCCCGAGACGGTGCGGTGACAGACCGCGCGGTGACCTCGGAGCCCCAAGGGGCCTCGCCGCGAGGTCCGTCGCCGCAGGGTCGTGGGACCCCGGAGGCCCCCGTCGCCCGAGAGGTCCTCGGAGAGGGCCCCGAGTCCCAAAACCATACAGTGACCCCGAATCCCCACCGACTCACCGCACGGTGTGGTCACAACCCCGTTTGGGGGCCCCCGAGTCTTGCCCAGAACATTTCAGGGCGGGGGGCGAGGGATGCAGCCGTCTAAGAAGGCAGGAGACGTTTTGGAAGGGCTCCGGGGCTTCCAAGAAAGCTTCTCGGAATTCAGGAGGGCTCCGACGAAACCCCCCGCCTTCTTAAAAGTAGAAGACGGGGCGCATTTCCCTCCGGCCCCCCATGGCGTTGCTCCCTCCCCTGGGGTCTCTGAGATGTCCCGAGAAGTACGGTGGAGGCCCATCTACAAGAAACCTCCCACGAGAAGCCCAATCCTGAGACCCCAAGACGCCCATTGATTTTTGGTGTGGGAGCGACACGCTTCCCGCAGCAAAACCATCGAAACCCATGAAACCCAGGGCACCCTGGAGGGAAGCAGGGTGTTGCTTGACATGGGCTTCGCCTGCATGGAAAACATGTATGGTTTCACCTCAGCTCCAAGAACGTGAGACCCTCCGCTAGCCAAGCCGAAGAGAACACTCGAGTGCGCCATCCCCCAGGTGCACGAGAACCTCCAACAGATACGAAGAACATCATAGGGTAGCCTCCCCGAGCCGAACCGAAACCCAGGGCACCCTGGAGGCAAGCAAGGTGTTTCTTGGCATGGGTCTCCACAGTAGGGCGCCGCCGGGCCGAAGGACCGCCCCCCTCCCCCCCAGATGGTCCCGCGGGTGTCCCCGGCGTCCCGCGGGTGTCCCGCCGGTGTCCCGTCGGTGTCCCGCCGGTGTCCCGCCGG